CCTCTACCGGCGCCTTGGCCTCTGCCGGAGGAGCCTCTGCCTCCTCCTCTGTTACCACGGCCTCCTCTGTTATTGTATCTTGTCATCTGGCTCGTGGGCTTGTACTGGAAACGGTGTACTTGGAATTCGTGGGACGCTTGGTGGAGCTTGAGGGGGTTCCTCTTCTTTTCCTATTGATCAGGTTGCCTCTGTGGGTCTATATGTCACTCTGGTGACTGCTCCTGCCTTAAACTTGGCTTGTTCCTATCTGCGCGTCGTGGCTCTTGTTGGCTCACACGAGAAATTCCACCGTTTGACCTTGAGGGTACTAGCGAACTCTTCTGTCGGTCCACTCGAAGGTCTTCTTTTGATGTAGTTGGTTGCAATAGTGTTAGATGCGACTACTGGTGCAGTTTCATAGGCTCGTAGCTCTTGTGTGTCGAGTTTCAGCTGTCGGCGCTTGGTTGGGCTCTTGTTATCCCGTCGCTTCAGCACTGTCTGACTCGAACGTCGATATCTCAGTCAATTTTCGGAGTTGAGACCTTGCACTTGTTGTGGCATATGCGGCAATAGGTCCTCTTTCGATCCTCGTATGCGGCCGTAGCTGTATCTCTCTTCGTTCGGTCGTCGTGTTCAATCGCGTCGATCGGCTTTTGCTCGTAGAGTGGGTACCCAAAACACGCGATCGCCGATTACTCCTTCAGTTCTTGTCGGATGACCTTGGTTCAAGCATCAATATGGACCGGCTAGCTGTGCTCTCGACGCTGATGTGCTTGGTTTGCTCTGAATCGGTCGACAAGTCGATCGGCCGATGCTCCGAGATGCTTGGAATGAGGGAAAATGTGAGCGCGAAAAAAAAGCTTGACCGATAGCTCTGTTGCTTTGCCTTTATAGTGAGGCTACAGAGCACCTCTGCTCAATACCTGAGCCCGCTGTTTCTCTCAGTTCTTTCTCACTATTACAATACCTATTTCCATGGATAAACTCAATACAAACTGCTTTTTCTTCTCAGTGTTGGATCTAATAACACTGCAGCTACTAGTAATATCAAGGTTAATTTGTTGATTTGGGCGAGCTGAGAAGAAAAAGTGATCTTTCTGGCTGGTCGCTTTGAAGTCTGGATCTGAGAATGCCAGTTTCCTTAAATTCCTACGGTGGTGCGGTCTTTTTCTTATCCGGGTCCGCTAAATATCTAGACCGGCCAACAGTCTCGTTTGGTTCAGGAATTCTTTTTGGAAGCTTGGTCCAAAGAGACCCAAAGTCAACAGTACGAGGTGGAACAACTGGGCTGCTTGTTACCCTTGTCTTGGTAATCATTATTCACCCCCTTGTATCTGTGGACTTGAGTGTCCCATCTGCCAAGTTCTTTCTTTTCATTTTTGGATTGACTATTGGGATCATATACAGTGGAACCTATGTGGCAGCAGTTGAGCTTTGGTACTTGAGGCTCAAGGACTGCGACGTTTCCTTTGTATCAAGGGCATCTGCTTTGAATGATCTGGGTTTTCAAGCAGTCATTGCTGGTGTCTTTCAGCTCCAAACAATTCTCATTGAAGAGACTGTAACCAAAGGAGACACATCCAGGCTGGTGGAAGGACTTGTCTTCTTTGGTCCATTGGTTGCATTGTTGCTCATGGCGTACCTAGTGGCAATTTCTCTTCCTTTCCCCAAGGATCCCATCTTTGGATGGCCCATCAAAGATCCTTTTGGGGGTCGACGTAACAGAATCCTTATGGCAGCAGTGGACAAGTTGGGGATTTGCCCCATTGCCAGCAGTTCATTTGCCTGTTTTTCTGACTATCGTACCTCCATGTTTGCGGAGGGGCACCTCTCCAGCCCCACTACCCAGGTCCAAAGGGGTCCACCTGTGGATCCTTCTGCCACGTTGTCTCCAGAATGTCTTCAACAGCAATTGCAAAAGTATGATGCAGAATACAGCACTACAAGTCAGGACACTTGGCACAGAAGCCAAGCAAATGTTTCCAATTTCACCACTGGAAACAAAGCCAATCTGGAGGAACGGTTGCGGCAGATTGGGAGTGCCCATTCTGAAATATGGATCACAACATGGACATTTGAGGATTCCACAAGTGGCAATCTCTTGTCAGATGCTCTTATCACAAAGGTCCAAGCTGGTGTGGATGTGAGGGTTATTGTAGATGGCTGCAACCTTGTATATCTCTATCACAAGGAGAAACTGACTTCTGAAACCCAAGAGACACAAGTGCTGCACAAGTTGGTGAATGGTGGTGTTGAAGTGAGAATGCTTGATACCTGGTTTGAGGATAAACAACCATCTTACGTCTGTGGAACGCACCGCAAGATGATGCTGGTCGATGGCACATTTCTCCTTACTGGGGGGCGCAACATTAGTGATGAATACCTGATGACTGATACCTTCCACTTCAAAGACCTCGATGTGACCCTCCAATCCAGCAGCTTTGTTGATAGTACAAGGCATTTGTATGAGACTCTTTGGGGCAAGTCCAGAGGCATCCATCACTTGACCCGTGGCATTGATGCCTCCAGCAAAGATACAAAGTTGATGGGCGATGAAGCTGGTTTTGAAACACCAACAATGATGATGGCAACTGATTCATCCACGATGTATTCGGGGGTCATGGGTGTTGATAGCCAAGTCGTCAACCCAATGAATGAGAGGCAACAGGACTCACCTCTTGATCCGGCATCTTCGATCAACATAGACTGTGAGGTTTCTTTGTTCCAGCTGGACCACAAAGCAGGGAATCCTGAGGGTCAGGACATCATATTCTCCACATTACTCTTTTTGATTGAGACAGCTGAGGAGAGTATTGAGTTACTCTTTGGCTACTTTCAGCTCCTCCCTGGTCTAGAAGAGGCCATTGCAGGTGCCATTGCCCGAGGAGTCAAGGTCCGTCTCATTACCAACTCTGAAGACACAAATGATCTGTCTTTTGAAAACCAGATCTTTGGCCACGCATTGAGGCGTGTGCTGATACTTGGTGTAGAAGTTTACTTGCCGGCAAAGAAGAAGGATGGCTCAGTCAATTATTGCCTCCATTACAAGATGGCCATCATGGATGCCAAGGCAGTGTTGCTGGGCTCCTGGAACTGCCTAGGATTTTCCACCTTCCATGATGATGAGTTTTCTTTTGTGATGTTTGACCAAGAGATGAAAAATAGGGATGGGGGAGAGGATAGAGCTTTGGGAAGTGCCCTGTTGGAGCACTTTCTGCAATCCATTACAGAAGGAGATCTGGTTCGTGTTGAATCAATACCAGAGGACAGTTGTGTGGTTCCTTTCCACTTTAGAGCATTCGCAACAAAGAATGCTGCTCGTCAAATGCAAAGGGGTTTCTAAGAACTTTGACTTATAGCTGGCGTTTTGCTACTGATTGCTACCGTATTGCGATCCACCAAGGGTATCGAAATCCTGAAGCAAAGCGTATATTTTGCGACGTGTTGAGCAGCAACACGCCTGGGGAACCCCCCTGTCCGAGTTTCCACGCCCCGCAGCGTGGAAAGCTGAACCCTGATGGGTTCTCGCAACTATGACCCTAATCATGGTTGCCGAGAGGACCATCTCACAAATTGCAAAATTAATTCCCGCGCTCCTCACCTACACCAACTCAAGTACATCTCTACATCTTGCAGGTCATCACCTGCGTTCCGGAAATGGATACCCCACATGATGATGCACCGCAACAGCTCCTCAATGCCTCTCGAACAAGATTACCCTTAAGGCAACGACGCCCGTCCAAGACCACATTTGGCAAGATCGACAGCGGCAACCATGAATCACTAAAGCCAGCGACCTAGCCAAGATCAGCCATTGAACTGCCGATCGCAAGAAGGTTGTCTCTCTCTCATCTCACAATTCTTCATTCAGCCGACGCTGAAGGCAAGAACCTAGATTAGATTAAGCTCTTGCGCCGGCATCAGGTTTCGTATCTTTTCGACCCTCACCATGGCCAGCTCTAATTTTTCGGATCTCGTCTCTCGTGCAGCGGCATGGGAGGTACATGCTCCAAACTACACTGATATCCTCACTTCTGTGGGCGGCGCCTCGAATACAAATCGTGATGTTGCCTCTCGCGCTATGAGCCAATTTTGCCTTCGTTCACCTGTCACCTTTGGCTTCGTCCTCCAAAATGACGAAACGAATATCTACATTGGACACTCACTCTACGCCTACCCCGTGAATCCTAGCCAGGTCTCTCCTTACGACAATCTCTACGCTATCGTGGTGGGGAACGATCTTTGAAGCGCTATCACGGTGGTCCTTCCCATGTCAGCGTTCGAGTGGACGGCTGACGTAACCTGCCACAACATGACAATTATTGATGGAGGAACGATGTTTGCCGCCGCGCCGGCTCCTGTGCTACACAGTGGCCCCCACGGCGGTGGTGTCGCGGACACTGATGTCTTCCGGGTCCATCGTGTGATGCCTCTTCCGTCCTATCTCTCTGAAGCCGTCCTTGTGGCCCATCCCGAAGGACAGTATAGTCTTCCCCAGTTCCGTGCGGAAGTCCTTACCCCCGAGATGACTCACACGGATCCTTCGCGACAGGCTGCCATCGCCCCTTTGGTCCAATGGTTCCGCGCCTGTTGCACGTTGGTCGTGGGAGGTCACACGTCCACTAGTAATGCTGCTGCTAACGTGGCCACGCCCATCAGCGCAAACGCGCTCCAACGAAGCACAAACCGGGTACTCTCCCCCTACATGGCGGCGCTTGGCGCGGTAGGTCCGTGCCTGACCAACGCAACCTTCAACGCGGGAATCACGAACCTACGTGCAATACACGGCTCTTAGCCTTATTCGCGACTCGATCCTAGATAGGGTTTGTGTTCGACTCATGACTGAGTCTCTCGTGAATAGTCATTTGAGACAGGGTTCTCAATGACCGCACTAGTCATACTAGGTTGATGATGAAACATCGCTCTAGATATTTAGCCAGCGTGGAGTACTTCCACGCTACTAGATCCAGGCTAGACAAACCTTCCACGCGTTCCGTTTTAGGATCGTGGAGAGACGTAGGATTACTACCACAACCTAATCTATCACACTTCATAGTCTCCCGCGGGAAGCCAGATCTACGATCCCTTGATGATGATCTCTCTCGTTGATTAGTTTTCATAGCTTTCTAATCTCTCTCATAACTTTCATTCTCTCAAACTCAAAACACTCGAAAGATCTTTACACTAGCTTTTAGCGTAGTGCATTTTGTTAACAAACACAATAGCTTTCAGCTACCCTCAACCTATTCCTTCACCATGAAGATGGCTCAAGGAAAGCATGCGTTCCGCAACTTCGAGAAACAGTTGCGTGACAAACCCATTCTTCCTCTCGTCGACAATGACGAAAAAAACGAGACGACGATACTCGTGCACCACTTGCAAATTCGCAACATGTTGCCAAGCGCAAATCAGAAACTCTGACAATGAGGAAAACTCCTCTATCAATTTCAATCACTTGGATGGAGAAATCTATCTGAGGATTAGGCAGGATGATGACTCAACGAACCATGTTCCGATTTCTCATACCAAAGTGTGAAGATATATCTCACTAACTAGTAAACAAGAATTGTTTGCAACTGATGAACTCTACGGCAAATTAGATGATTGCAGAAGCTGCTCAACTAGACTCTGATGACTATTAGCATGTTAACTCGTCCGTGGCCAACCACTCGTAAACGTCGCAAGACAAGAGACTCAAACCCATCGTCTATGTTAGATTTAACAAGCGAGAAAAAGGAAACAAAACCTTTACACTCGTTGCTTACTGTGATACAGGAGCATCTGGAACCTTGATTGCCAAACTCATGCTAAGAAATTACGCTGAAGGATCTTGGGGGCGTCCAAACGATGTGGACTACCCCTGCAGGAGAATTAAACACCACAGAAGTGCAAAGTGCATTCATGATTCCTGAATTCCACGAAGATAGAATTATCGAGTGGGATTACACGTCACCAAGAGTTTGGGGCGTATGACATGATCTAGGTCGAGAATTCTCTCGTACTAGGTTCAAGTTCGATTTCACTACCATGTCAGTGAATGGGACGGCGATCTATTCTATGAAAGATAGCGACACCAATGAAGAAGAAAATTTTCATTCCTGATCTACCGCTGTGATGACAGGCAGATCGTCTCAAGAAGATTCTTGATGCGAAATACGAACAAGCTGACTTAAGGCAGGTTTGCCAAAGTCAAATCAGTTAAACACGGAAAGAAGGAACAGCTTCATTCCTTACTGACGAAGTACTCTGACCTATTCGATGTACTTTGGGAAAGTGGCAGATGGACGACTACGAAGTAGAACTTCTCCTGATGCTAAACCCTATCATGCAAGGGCTTACCCTATTCCACGGGCCATACCAACACTCTTAAGATGGAGGTTGAACGTCTCTGCGAGCAGGATACTCAAGAAGGTAAACGTTCCGAGTGGGCGGCACCAACTTTCATCATTCCCAAGAAAGACGGATCGTACGATTCACTCTGATTCCGGGAACTAAAAAAGGATTAAGCGGAAGCCTTACCTATCCCAAAAAATACAGGACATGCTCTTGAATCTAGACTGGATTCAAGTACGCTACTAGTAGACCTGAACATGGGATACTACACATCGAGCGTCACCTCACTCGAAGCAACTCTGTACCATCGTACTCCCGTGGGGAAAGTACGAGTACCAGAGGTTGCCAATGGGCCTATGTAATAGTCCCGACATCTTCCAAGAAAAGATGGGAACACTAATGCAGACCTAGAATACGTCCGTGCATACATGATGATCTACTCATCCTAACTAACGGCGATCTAGCAGATCACGTTGAAAAGTTGATGAAGTTCTCCGAAGGCTTCGAGAAGCCGACTTAAGATCAATGCTACCAAGTCCTTCTTCGCAAGAGGAGAACTTGATACCTAGGTTACTGGATACTCGAGAAGGAATCCAACCATAACCAAGAAAATAGACGCGATCAAGATTATCGCTCCTCCTACCAACAGGAAGAACTCCGTAGATTCATTGGACTAGTGAACACTATCGAGACATGTGGATTAGACGATCACATGTACTGGCCCCACTCGCTTCGTTGACTTCCAAAACAACGAAGTGGAATGGGAAGCCGAACACGAAAGGCCTTTAGCCAGATGAAGAAGATCATCAGCAAGAACCTTGCTCGCCTACCCTGACTTCACAGATACATTCGTTATCCACACGGATGCGAGTGATACCTCAACTAGGTGCGGTAATTTCCCGGAAGGGAAAACATCGCGTTCTACAGCAGAAGCTCAACCCTGCTCAGACACGTTACACAGTTACCGAGAAGAACTTCTCAGTATCGTAGAAACTCTGAAAGGAGTTCGTAACATTCTTCTAGGACAGAAGATCGTTGTACATACGGACCACAAAATCTACATGCAAGAACTTCAATACGATCGCGTAATGCGATGGCGCCTTATCTGGAAGAATACGGCCCGAACTACGGTACATCAAGGGCGAACAGAACATCGTCGCTGATGCGTTGTCGAGACTTAACATCTCCAACAACGACGGTTCTTCAGAACAGATGGAGCCAGCGAGATCGCTGACTCATGGCTGCAGACGAAGAGGACTTCCCTAGGGAGTTCCTCTCTCGTTCCCCGAGATCGAACATCGTCAGAAAGACGACAACGATATCAAGAAGCTCCTCAGGGACAAGCCAAACGACTACAAGAAACAATCTTTCCCCAGAGGGGATAAGTCCTACGACTTAGTAGTTAAGGACGAAAAATCTCGTACCTAAGACTATCCAGAAAAAGCTAGTTGAATGGTACCATGGTGTGCTGATGCATCCTGGCGAGACTCGCACAGAACTAAACCATCAGCAAACACTACACCTGGAAAGGTCACGCAGGACTGTGCAGGCCGTATGTCAGCGTTGCCAAAGCTGCCAGATGAAAAAACCCAAGACGCGTAAGCTGGGATTGATGCTCCAAAGACTTTGCGAGGAGATCCCTTGGGAAAGACTATGTATTGACCTGAATAGGTCCTTACAACGTCGGGGATCCTAAGAAAAAGAAATTCCTGCACACTTCATTGCTTGACAATGATTGATCCCGTAACCGGATGGTCGAGATTGCAGAGATCTGCTCCAAGGCAGCAACGAAGTAGCCATCGTCTTAGAACAAACGTGGCTTACTCGGATCTGGCCTCTGAGGTTATCATGGATAGAGGAGGAGTTCCGTGCAGAGGTCGAAAAGACTCTCCGGGATGAATATGGACTTCGTCGAAGTTCTCACTAGCGTAACCCTCAAGCCAACCTATGTCGAGCGTGCTCATCAAACCATACGTAACTTGATCGCTGTAAAAACATCAAGTGCCAAGAGACCTCGTGAATGGATCCTGGGATGGAGTCCTCACGGCGGTTCGCTTTGCAATGAATGCCACGATTCATACCACCTTGCGTGCAACGCCCGCACAGCTCGTGTTCAATCGTGACGCGTTTCACAACGTCCGGTTCGAGCCAACTGGAAGTACATTAAGGAACGTGCCAACGACTTATCCAACAAACAACGATAGGGAAAACGCGACGCGTGTCCCTCATCAGTACATGTCAACGATACTGGATGATTCAACAGTATCAGCACCGCAAGTACGGTCAGCCAAAGTACAAAGGTCCTTACACTATAGACCGAGTCAATGACAATGGCACTGTACGGCTCCAACATGCTACGCCAACGGCGGCACAGTCTACCAACTTGGAACATAAGGTATTAACACCATACAAGGCCTGATCCCCTTGTAGGATAGCCATCGTGCGACGCAATGTCTACATCCAAATCTCATGAGAGTGCCCGCACTTTAAATCATAATGTTCTCCTTGTCCGACTGCTGTCGCGCTTTCTGTGACCCTTGTCAGGGGGCGAATGCAATACACGGCTCTTAGCCTTTCCGCGACTCGATCCTAGATAGGGTTTGAGTTCGACTCATGACTGAGTCTCTCGTGAATAGTCATTGAGACAGGTTCTCAATGACCGCCTAGTCATACTAGGTTGATGATGAAAATCGCTCTAGATATTTAGCCAGCGTGGAGTACTTCCACGCTACTAGATCCAGGCTAGACAGACCTCCACGCGTTCCGTTTTGATCGTGGAGAGACGTAGGCTTACTACCACAACCTACTCTATCACACTTTATAGTCTCCCGCGGGAAGCCAGATCTACGATCCCTTGATGAT